TTAAGAAGGCCACACCTTTGTGGGGACCTCAGTCCTTGTAGGAACCAGGGCTCTGCAAAGTCACTCTGCATTATAAACCAGTTGTTCAGCCAACTGAGCTAACCAGCCCTGAACTGGGATTTTTTTTAAAGCAAGCTGATGTGCTGAATTCTTTCCTGGGTATCAAATATTGAAAACTTCCCTTCTTCAGTTCATGAATATTTAGCACTAACCTGAATGGAGATGTCCCTTGCCTGTCTGTCGAGATTTATTGTAATCAGTTAGTGTAGAGGTATAAACAGACCAGAACACTTTCTTACCACTCATTATCAATGGTGCATATTGGAGCAAAATTTATCTGACAGAACAGCAGAATGAAATCATACATTTTCCACACTTTGTTTAATAAATGATGACTGTTGTGAGGGTCTCTAATTTCATCATTCAAATGTTTTAGGGTTATAACTTGGATGTTAGATGTAAGATAACTGAGCAAGTGACAGTAGGGAAAATATAAGGGACAGTCACCATTGAGGGAAATTGATCAGTTTGGAGGAAGAATAATCAACTGTTGAACAGTATATTTCAATGGGACAAGCACAAAATTGAGCCTGATAGACTAGATTCAATGTTTGGTGGGAGAACCAATAGCTAAATAATGAGCTACCTTGAAAGCGAAGATAGTTTGGGCATTGCCAAGGTATGTTCATCAAATGGAAAAAAGCAGCACAAACAAATCCAGAGCTCGCTGGATGACAAATGAAATAGAAGGTAAAGTGAAGAAGAAAACTGTGCATTTGACAAGTAATAGGCAGTAAACACAACCGAGAACCAAGCTGGATACAGAAGGTTCAGAAAGTTGGTGAAGAAACAAATACAAGAAGCAAAGAGGGATTATGGGAAAAAGACTGGCAGCCAACGTAAAAGGAAATCCCAAGGTTTATCAGCAAATCAATAATTAAAGGGTGTTAAAATGAGGTGTTGGGCTGGGTTTGGGGCAAAAAATATGATGGACACTTCAAGTCAAGAGTCATGGCTGATGTGTTAAATGAATATTTTGCATCTGTCTTTGTTCTGCAATGCACTGCCAGCATATGAGGTGGGGACAGGTTCAATTGAGACATTTAATAGGGCATTGGATAATTATTTAAACAGAAACAATTGCATAGGGTTACGGGGAAATGGCACAAGGTTGGCATGACATTAAAATGCTCCGAGAGCCAATGCATACACAATGGGTTAAATTACTTCCTTCTGCACCGTAACAATTCTGTCCAGGCCATAGTGAGACAGGAGGAAACTCAGCCATTCAAAGCTTTAAAAATTGATAAGGAAGATTTATTAGATAAGCTACTTGTATTTAAAATCAAGAAAGCACCCGGACCTGGTCAGATGCATCCAAGGATATTGAAGGAAATGAGAGAGAAAATTCTACAGGCACTGACAACTACTTTGCAATCTTTTCTGGATTCAGGAATGATTCCAGAGGTTTATGAATACAAAACATCATGCTCTTGTTCAAAAAAGATTGGCTCAGAAATTTCAGACCAGTCAGTTTAATTTCATTGATGGAATACTTTATCGGAAGAATGTGAATACATTGAGGTGTAAAATCGGTTGATGTGAATGGAGATAACGAGGTGTAGAGCTGGATCAACACAGCAGGCCAAGCAGCATCAGAGAAGCAGAAAGGTTGACGTTTCGGGTCAAGACCCTTCTTCAGAAATGGGGGAGGGGAAGGGGATTCTGAAATAAATAGGGAGAGAGGGGGAGGCGGATAGAAGATGGATAAAGGAGAAGATAGGTGGAGAGGAGACAGACAGGTCACAGAGGCAGGGGTGGAGCCAGTAAAGGTGAGTGTCGGTGGGGAGTTAGGGAGGGGATAGATTGGTCCAGGGAGGACGGACAGGTCGAGGAGGCGGGATGAGGTTAGTGGGTAGGAGATGGGAGTGGGGCTTGATGTGGGAGGTGTGGTTAGGGAGGCGGGTCTTAGCTGGACTGGTTTTGGGATGCGGTGGGGGAGGGGAGATTTTGAAGCTTGTGAAATCCACATTGATACCCTTGGGCTGCAGGGTTCCCAAGCGAAATATGAGATGCTGTTCCTGCAACCTTCGGGTGGCATCGTTGTGGCACTGCAGGAGGCCCAGGATGGACATGTCGTCTGAAGAATGGGAGGGGAAGTTGAAATGGTTCACAACTGGGAAGTGCAGTTGTTTAGTGCGAACTGAGCGTAGGTGTTCTGCAAAGCGGTCCCCAAGCCTCCTCTTGGTTTCCCCAATGTAGATGAGGCCACAACAGGAACAGCGGATACAGTATACCACATTGGCAGATGTACAGGTGAACATCTGCTTGATGTGGAAAGTCTTCTTGGGGCCTGGGATGGGGGTGAGGGGGGAGGTGTAGGGGCAGGTGTAGCACTTCCTGTGGTTGCAGGGAAAAGTGCCGGGTGTGGTGGGGCTGGAGGGAAGTGTGGAGCGGACAAGGGAATCATGGAGAGAGTGGTCCCTCTGGAAAGCAGATAAGGGTGGGGAGTGAAAAGTGCACTGGTTTGTCTTACCAAAATGCAACACCTCACATTTATCTGAATTAAACTCCATCTGCCAATCCTTGCTCACTGCCCCAGTTGACCAAGATGCCATTGTACTCTCAGATAACCTTCTACACTGAACCACTGTGATCCAAACCACCGTGAAAAACATTTCTTGTGTCATTTCTTTTATCAATTAGTTACATCTGTGTCTTGTTCTCAATATTCCCAATCAACTCTGTCCAAAATCATGACTTTTAAAACACCATCAAATCTCCTCCTTACCTTCTGTTCGGCGAGAGAAATAGTCCCAGCTTCTCCGATTTATCCACGTAGCTAAAGTTCCCTGCTCCCAGTTTATCAGACGTTTCCCCACCACTGAGAATAAACTGACTGACATGCAGTTACTGTGTGCATCCTCAAACCCTCTTTTTGAACCAACATTTGCAATTCTCCAGTTGTCTGGCACCGCCATGTCAAAGGATTGGAAGATTAGGGTCAGTGCCTCTGCAATCTCCACCATTACTTCCCCCAGCATCCTTCCACACATCACATTGGAACTGACGGCTACAAAATCGGACCACAGTCAGCCTTTCCAAAGTCTCCCATTATTAGGTTTTAAAATCACAAGCGCCTTATTTTTTAAAAGAATTTGTTCACAAGAAGCTGACGAGCATGTGTAGCCTATCCCTGATTGCCATTGAACTGAATGACTTGCTCAGCCATTTCAGATAGCAATGAAGAGCCAACAACATTGCTTTGGGTCTGGAGTCATGTGCAAGGCAAAGGATGGCAGATTGAGTCTCCAAAGGATATTAGTGAAACCGAACAGCTCACTGTGACTAAGACAAGATTCACATTCCTGATTTATGAATTGAATTGAATTGTTATTCTCATGAGATTTGAACCCAAATCCCCGAAAGGACATTGGTGAGGTCCCTTTTAGAATATTGCACTCAACTCTGGTCTCCCTGCGAGAGGAAAGATGCTGCGAAACTTGAAAGGGTTCAGGGAAGATCTGCAAGGATGTTGCTGGGACTGGAGGGTCCAAGCCACAGGGTGAGGCTGAACAGTCTGGGGCTTCCCTCGCCAGAGGTCAAGGGGCAACCATACAGAGGCCGACAAAACCATGAGGGGCACGGACAGGGCAAATAGCCAACAGCCCCCTCCCAGGGGAAGGGAGTCAAAAGCTAAAGGACATACGTGAAGGTGAGAGGGGAAAGATTCAAAAGGGACCCACAGGGCAACCGTCCCCATGCTGATGGTGGTTCGTGTATGGATTGAGCTGCCAGAGGAAGTGGTGGAGGTGGGTACAGTGACAACATTTAGAAGGCATTTGGATGGCCACATGAACAGAAAGGGTTTAGAGGGACATGGGCCAAATGCTGGCAAATGAGACCAAATCTGTCCAGGATACGTACTCGGCATGGACAAGTTGTTTCCATGCTGTATAAATCAGTAACTGCACCAGCAGCCTGATCCAGTGATATTGCCACCATCTCCTCCTGAATTTTACAGTAACAATAATGGCGATGCCTACATCTCTGTAAAAGAACTACAAATCACAGCAGGAAAATGGACAGAAAGCCTGTGTTGAAATGTTGGTGTGATAAAATGAATACCATTCGTACGTTCTTGCCAAAACAAACCGTTTGATGGGAGGGCCAGGAATTTAAAAATACACAACTTAATTTATATTTAAAGGCTGAGAAAACACCACCAAAACTAATTTCCTTTCAGTTAATAATGTACCAACAGTGACTGGTGAGAGAGAATGCAGGGAGAATATTTTTCATTCATTGTTGGGTTGGGGGGAGGGGAATGCTTCTCACGACCTGAAAACGTAATGGAGGCAGAAACCCTCAAGAATTAGAAATACCTGGAAATGAACCACAGCTCACAGGGCCGCATACCAAGAGTGGGAAGATGGGATTAAATTGTTTTAACATCAACCACCGGCTGAGTGGCCTCTTTCTGTCCATTTTCTTTCACATTTTCTGGAAATGCATTTTCTTTCACAACTTTCCTCCAGAATTTCATTCATTCCTATTACCCACTGTGCCGATCATTTAACATCAAAACATTCCCAACGTTAGCGAGGAATCCTTTTCTCTCCGTGTATGGGGAATGAAGAAATGATTTCTGATTAAAATATTTTCAATCAGGTGACAGTTTCCGAGAAGCTGCAATTTTAATTTTTCACTGAAGTTACAAACATGTTTCGGAAGGTGCCAATGTCTTGCTTTCTGTAAACGGCCAAAGGTGAGACATCGCTAAGTTTTCTCAACAGAAATCGCGTCGCTTTCCTGTCCCGTTTAATGACACCGCGGCGAGAGTTTACTCCAGGGAGCTACACCGGGAACCTCCAGCCGTCGGCGAATCAGTCCGAGGCTCCACGATGGACGGTGCCTGTGGATACAGAAAGGAAACCCCACCCCAGCGATCACCATCTGGTTTCCTCCTGAACTGAATGTGTTGAGCAGCGCAGCAAGATTGAAACTGAAAGCGGTTTGAATCAGGAAGTGCTGAGTGTGAACATGGATTCCAGGCGGCAGGTCCACAGTTTGACCGAGGAGGCAATTTGTCCCATTTGTCTGGATTTCTTCACCGACCCGGTTATACTGGATTGTGGACACAACTTCTGCCGCTCCTGTATCACCCAGAGTTGGGAAAAGCAGGAGATAAACTCCTGCCCGGAATGTAGACGGGAGTTTCCGGAAAGAAATCTCAGGGTAAATCGGTCCTTAGCGAATCTGGCCGAGAAAGCTCGAAAATTAAAGCTGAATCCACAAGAGAAGGAAAGTAAACCTCACTGTGAGGAACATCAGGAAGAACTGAAGCTGTTTTGTGAAACTGACAAGAAATTGATCTGTCTGATTTGTAGAGATTCCCGGGAACACAAATCTCACAACTTCATGCCGATCAAAGAAGCTGTTGGTATCTACAAGGTACAAGGGAACAGATTCCATCCCCTGATTACTTCATCACATTTTCATGGTCTAACACTTGTATTTTCTGATTTTCTCTCCCAATCCCAGGATCGGGTGAAATCTTCCTTAGATTCTCTCACTGAGAAGAAATCGGAGGCTCTAGAAATGGAGCGGCAGCAGAAACAAAAGATTTCCCAAATTCAGGTAAAATCTGCCAGGGCACAGCTTCAAAATTTGATTCGTTAAAATTTGTTGATTTTTTTTGGCAGAAATATATTGTGTTTACGTTTCATTTCATAGGAGGAATCCAGAAATCTTCAGACCCGCATCACGTCCGGATTTGCTCAAATGCACCAGATTCTCAATGAGAAAGAGCAGCGGTTACTCCGAGATCTCAGTGAACAAGAGGAAAACACTCTGAAACCAATGGAGGAAAACCTTTGTGAAATTCAAGATAATTTAAAGTCTATTCAGGAGAAACTTTCAAAGTTGGAAAAACGGTTGGAAGAAACAGACGGAGTGATATTCCTGAAGGTGAGGGATTATATTTCAGTTTAGTTCAGTGAAAGTGACTGTGAAAGTCCCAACATGATGCAGATACCCATCCTCCTTCATTCCCCCCTGGTCAATATCTCCCTCTGCTCCTTTCTCCCTCATGGGTTTCTCCACTTTCCTGTTCAGCATATTTTCCTCAATCACACTGTGTGACAATGGGTTCCAGGTTCTCATCATTTTCGTGATAAAGAAGTTGATCCGAACTTCCCATTGGATTTATTTGTAACTTGATGACTTTTCCACATCCAAATGTTCAGCCTCCCTCCAGGTGGAAGCATCTTTATTGAATCTATCAAATCTACTCCGTTATCATTTTAAACATCAAAATCAGATTTTCTCTTTTCTCGAGTAGTTTAATGTCACCAGTTAACTCCTGCACTTGTCAGTTGGTAAAATGACTTTCTCCCGGACTTCAATATCCTGAGTGCAATGTCCTCTTTGTATTCTGTGTTTGCATCAATCGGAATGGGGGAGATGGTGATGTAGTGGTAATGCCACTGGACTAGTCATCCAGAAACCAAGGCTAATGTCCTCTGGACATGGTTTCAAATTCCATCAGAGATGGTGGAATTTAAATTCAACACAAATAAAATCTGGCATTTTAAAGAAAGGCTCGTCTAATGGTGACCATGGAAACATTGTCAATTGTTGGAAAAACCACTTGGTTCATTAATGTCCGTCTGGGAAGAAATCTGCCCTCCTTACCTGGTCTGGTCTCCATGTGACTCCAGACCCAGCAATTTGGTAGACTGTTGGGAATGGGCAATAAATGCTGGTTGAGCCAGTGACACCTATGGCCCATTAATTAGTTGTCTTAAAAATAACAACTGGGGCAGCACGATGGCTGTGTGGTGAGAACTGATGCCTCACAATGCCAGGACCTGGGTTCAATGCTGGCCTCGCGTGTCTGTCTGTGTGGAGTTTACACATTCTCCCCGTGTCTTTATGGGTTTACTCTGGGTGTTCTAGTTTCCTCCCACAGTCCAGTTATATGCTGGTTAGGTGGAGTGGCCATGGTAAATTGCCCTGTAGTGTCCAGGGATGTTTTGGCTCACTGCATTGCAATGGAAAATGCCAGGTTACAGGGACAGGGTTGGATGGTCTTTGAACGGTCGGTGTGGACATGATCGGCCAAATGGCCTGTTTCCACACTGTCGGGAATCTATGACTCTATGATTCATTGTGAGTGTAATTGGTGCTTTTTGGATTTCGACAGTCAGTGTCTGAAAGCTCAGATTGGTGTTTTGTTTATTTCAGGAGGAAGCATCTCGGAAAAGGAGGTAGGAAATGCACTTTCCTGACACTCAGTGCAAGTTGGTGAAATTACTCAGTCAAGTGTTTGTGGTGAATTTATAACCAATTAATATGTGATATTTATAGGATTAGCGACGAGTTTGGTCAAAACCTGTCACTGACTGATGGTGTCCTGTCCATTGAAATAACCGACATCCTTTCAGAATTTCCAGTGTGGACAGAAGTGGTGGAGGCCATGAAACCTAATAAGGGTCAGATAAGTTCCTTTGTCCTGATTATATTTTATACTTTAATTGTTACATTCTGACTATCCACTCTATCTGTGCCTCTCATCATCTTATACACCTCTATCAAGTCACCTCTCATCCTTTTTCACTCCAATGAAAAAAGCCCGATCTTTCCTCATGAGACCTGCCCTCCAGTCCAGGCAGCATCCTGGTAAATCTCCTCTGCACCCTCTCTAAAGCTTCCACATCTTTCCTATAATGAGGGGACCAGAACTGAACACAATATTCCAAGTGTGGTCTCACCAGGGTTTTATAGATCTGCAGCATAACCTCGCAGCTCTTAAACTCAATTCCCCTCCTTTTGTCAGAGATGGGGTTGTTTGCTGATGATTGCACGATATCTGGCACCATTTGCAACCCACTCAGATCGCGAAGCTGTCCATGTTCAGATACAGAAAGACCAGACATTATTGAGGCTTGGCCTGATGTGTGGCAAGTAATAATCATGCCCATATAAGTACCAAGCAGTGAACATCTCCAAGATGAGAGAATCGAAACATCAGCCCTGACATCCAATGGTAATGCAACTCATCACCATCACCTCAACATCCTGGATGTTAACATTGACCAGAAACTGAACTGGGCCACCTTCATTTTCAACTGGGCCATTGTCATCATTTTCTAATTTGGTGAAGACAGCCGCAAAGTTTTCATTTCATACCACTGTTTCAATGAGTAGTTTACCCAGCTTTTTTCTTCGGGGCCCAGTCTGTCCTTCGCTCATCTTTTCCTGTTAATATGTTTGAAAAGCACCTTTTTAAGCGTCCCCGTACACCTGCATCTTAGTGATAAAAACCACAACACAGCCTGATTTAAGTTTGTTTTGGAAAAGGACACGAAAACTGAAGTGGTTCAAGAAGGCAGCTCCCCATCACTGTCTGAAGGGCAACAAGGGATGGGAAATAAATGCTGGCCCAGCCAGCAACACCCATATCCCATGAATGAATGAAAAATTGTGTGTCTTGGATTGGAGAAGGCAGATTGAATTAAAATAAGGCGGGATCTAGTCAATGCAGATCGTGAACAGGTATTTGTGAGATAATCTATGCAGCACAGTGCGGGGAGTGGGTGGGAGTGGGTGCTCAAACAGGAAATGGGCAGAGGACAGGACCAAAACTTCCCCTTTAGGGTGACGTGTGGGAACAACATGCCCGGAGAACCCTGGATGTCTCAAAATATTCAATACTGGATAAGAAGATAAAAAAGATGCTTTCAGCAGGTGAAAGAGCAAAACAGCAGACATCCTGGTGGATTTTCAAAAGAGCAGTGGGGAAGGTAAGAAAACATTAAGAAAGCACAGAGAGTTGTTAAAATTACGGAGAATCCCAAGAAATTGAACAGGCATATTAAAGTGAAGAAGAAAACCATGGAAAGAGGACACGTTTGGGACCAAGGGGCCAAACTGTGTGTTGAGTCAGAGGACATTGGTAGAGTGTTAAATGAAGACTTCACTTCTGTCTTCACTTGGGAGAAGGAGGATGTTGATACAGAATTTTGGAAGAGGTCCTTGAACAGATTGACATAGGGAGTAAGGAGATATTGGAGGTTTTTGACAGTGGACACATCCCCAGGTCCAGATGAGATGTCTCCCAGGTTGCTGTGAGAGGCAGGGGAGGAAATTACAGGGGCTCTGACCCCAAATGTTTAATTTGACTGTGGCTACAGGGAAGGTGCCAGAGGACTGGAGGACAGCTAAGGTGGTTCCACTTTTTAAGAAGGGTGTTAGAGACAAACCAGGGAATCTCAGACCAGTGAATCTCTCATCAGTGGTAGGGAAACTATTGGAGAAAATCCTGAAGGAGAGAATTCATCTCCACCTGGAGAGGCAAGATGTGATTCGGGATAGTGAGCATGGCTATATCAGAGGAAGGACACAACTAACATGTTTGATGGAATTTTTCAAGGAAGTGACCAGGTGTATAGATGAGGGTAGAGCAGTTGATGTAGTTTACATGGATTTCAGCAAAGCCTTTGAGAGTGTTCCACATTAAATTGACAAAGACAGTGAGAGCACATGGGATCCAGGGTAACCTGTCAAGATGGATCCAATATTAGCTCAGTGACAGGAGACAGAGCATGGTGTTAGAAGACTGTTTAGTGTGTCGTGGTGTCATACTGGATCAGTGCTGGGTCTCTGATTGTTTATGATTTATTTAAATGATATCAATGGGAATGTGGGGAAATGATAAGTAAGTTTGCAGATGATACGAAAGTTGCCTGGATGGTTAATATTGAGGAAGGAGGACATAGGTTCCAGGAAGTTATCGATGCGTTGGTTGAATTGGCAGATCAATGGCAGATGGAATTTGATCCTGAAAAGTGTGAGGTGATGCACTTTGGAAGAAGTAACAGGACAAGCAGTTACTCAAAAAATGGCAGGACACTAGGAAGCTCAGAGGAGCAGAGGGATCTTACAGTGTGTATCCACGGATCCATGAAGGTGGCTGAATGTGTTAACAGAGGAGTTAGGAAGGTGCTTGGCTTTAACACTTGAGGCATAGATTATAAAATCAGGAGGTTATGTTTAAGCTGGACAGGACTTTGGTTATCGGATCAGTAATAAGGGAGCATAATTTTAAGATGAAGGGCAGGAGGTTTTGGGAGTATTTGAGGAAAATCTCTTTCACCCAGAGAGTGGTGGGAGTTTGGAATGCACTGCCTGGGAGGGCAGGAGAGATGGAACCGCAACATTCAAGGCTATCGGCCAAGAGCTGAAAAGTGGGATTCCTGTAGCTAGGCTGGTGCAAAATCAATGGGTTGAAGGGCCTCTTCTGTACTGTCTGACCCTGTGACTCACATTCAATACACCTGCTTTATTAACTGTTATAGGGAAATCATACATTGAAACAGGTGCATGTGACAATTTACAGTGCAATTGGCTGAATAATACTGAATTCTCACCCGGTCATTCCAAATAATTTCTACTTTAGGCATTTTGTTTGAAAAAGTCTCTTTAGTAAGAACGGTTGCTGCCCCTGGGCTATGTAAAAAATGGTGACGAGAGCAAAATATTGTGTGCTCATAATCAGCAGCAAAAGCTGCAGCTTCAGTGTGAGAGGGAAAGGGGGGAATGATAAAGGGAAATGAAAAAAGTGTTGATAAGAGACTGAGAAAGAACTTACTGTTACAAAGCTCTGTGATATTTCCTGGAAATTCCTCAGCACTTCATAATCAATGAATTACTTTTTGACGTGTGATTAACATTGTTAAGAAACTTTTGTAATTGCTGTTAAAATTTATTGGTTTCAATTTGTTTGTGTATAAATAGGTAATATGGCAATATTTGAATCATGATGATAATTAAAATATGGAAACACATTTCCTAAATTCCCTGGTATTTTGTGAAAGGGAAAGCTCATGTTGATTTGAATTTCAAATTATACAATTGTTTCAACACAGAAAGAGGCCATTCAGCCTGTCTTGTCTGTTCTGGCCCTCTGCAACAGAAATTCACTTATTGCCACTTATCCTCTTTTTCCGGCCAGCCCTGCAAATTTATGCTCTTCAGTTAATGGTTCAATTCTGTTGTGAAGGACACAATTGTCTCTGGCTCCACTAGACTCTCAGGCAGTGCATTCCAGACAGTCATAGAGACATACAGCATGGAAAGTGACCGTTCTGTCCAACTCATCCATTATGACCAGATATCCTAGATTGATCTATTGCCATTTGCCAGCATTTGGCCCATATCCCTCTAAACCCTCCCTATTCATAGACCCATCCAGATGCCTTTCAGATATTGTAATTGTACCAGACTTCACCGCATCTTCTGGCAGCTCATTCAATTCATGCACCACCCTCTGCGTGAAAAGGTTCCCCCTTGGGTCCCTTCTAAATCTTTCCCCTCTCACCTTAATCCTGTGCTCACGAGTGTTGGACTTCCCGATCCTGGGAAAAAGAACTTGACTATTAATCCTATCCACACCCCGCATGATTTTCTAAATTCTCTAAGGCCACCCCTCGTCCTCCGATGCTCCAGAGAAAATGGCCCCAGCCTTTTCATGCTCTCCCTATAGCTCAAACTCTTCAACCCTGGCAACACCTTTGTATATCTTTTCAGAACCACTTCAACTTTCACAACATCCTTCCTATTTTAGGGAGACCAGAATTGCATGCGGTATTCCAAAAGTGGCCTAACCAATGTCCTGTACAGCTGCAACATGACCTCTGACTCCTCATCATGGTCTTTCAAGTTTTATACCACCTTTCCAATTCTCCTTGAGATTGTGGATGATAAACTGAAGACGTAAATTGTTTTATTCCCAAACTATTCATTATTTCTTTAAATATATTTGAAATTAAATTTTGAACCTTGATTTAATTGTATTTCTCTGGATAATCCATGTCTTGTTAAAAAAGTAGGACTTACATTTCCATGTCCATTTTTGCTGTATTTTTCCTTCAAGTCACTGCTTTCGGAAATTGTGCTGAAAAATCTGTGCATATTCAAAGATATTGATTGCCACTCTTGGTTGTAGATTAGTATCACACACAATCGATGAAGACCTTGCTAAACAGTTCTTCCAAAATTGGTATCAGAATTAAAGGCGCAGGTTTAATTTATGTTTGGGGTTTCACCAATACCATACATGTATAGTACGTCTGTCAAAATGTCACCCCATCATAATACAGTCCTGGCAAATAAAAACATTTTAATATTTTAACCTATGTTTTCCCGTGTCCAAAGTAACCGGCCATTCGAATGTTGAGAAACACTTGTAAAATTTCCCATCATCTGATGGATTCCTGCTCATTCCTTATTGACTGATATTTAAGGTGGTCTTCTTTTCCTCATTTACACTCTGTCTTTTAAATAATAACACTCAGATATTGGTTCTGATTCAATTTTCGAATAAGTTGTTCAATACAGTTCTATAAATCATAATCTGTCTTTTACATTTCTATTGAAGAAGATTGACCAAGTATGTCAGCTTCATTCTCTCTACTTCCTCTTTTCCACTTTTTTTCAAAATAATGTCAGATTACTGAATTTCCACATCATCTCCCTCATACTTAATTCCATAAACCTGAGATCTAGACACAAAACAGTCAGGAAACAATTCAGGATGTTCTTCTTGTACCATCTCAGTTTCTTTTACTTCCACAGCATTTCCAAAACACTTGGTGGAACTAATATTTTTGAAACAACCAGCTCATTTCCCAAAGTAAAATGAATTATTTCTGTCAGGATTTACTGCACTATTCTAACCACTATGATCCCAGATGATGTCATTACTGGACATTTCATATCCCAGGCAGGAAACTGGCTTGTTTGGTCATAGTTTCATTTGTTTTTGTTCCAACGAAGTGGCCTCTGAAATATAAACAATTAATGGAGCAGAATTTGCCATGTCAACAAAATGAAAGTTTATCCAAAGAGAAATAGACATAAAATAGAATAATGCAAAACATCTACTTAATACAAATTCAAAGGTTTTAATCACATTGTAAAAGTATAATTGCATTAATCCTCAAACTATCCTTTATTCATTGAAAAGGAAACAAAGCAGCTTCTCTGTATGACCAAAAACACCAAACCTGGTACAACACTCAAAATACGGCTCCTGGTCTCGTTCTCACAACACCATTCCTGCAATACTGACCACCAGAATTGCTGTGTTTAACACCTTGGGAGGTTTAAGTCACTTGTGACTTCAGTTCATGGACTGGGACTGTGATAGCTTTGTCTTGGAGCTACCACATACCTGAGCTTCGAAGTACTTGACTTGAATAATCTCTCCTGGGCTTTTACCCCAACACGTTGGTGGGTCTGAGACTAACATTAACTTTTCATTCCAGTGCAATCTAACTCACCAAGTCTTTTATCCCCTTCTCAGGAACACTGATGCAAATTCCAACCTGTTCCGAGGTCTTCCCAGGGCTAAAACACAACCCAAAGTTAAAGTTAAAAGTGAAAGTCACTCAGCCAAGGGCACCTCCCCCAACCTTCAAAGACTTAGCTTCCAAAACTCTAACAAACTTCTGAGCACCCATTATTTCCCGTGTCAGATCACAAACAATCTAAAATAAACAAAAGTCGTTTGTACAGCCAGGCGTTAAAAATTATTCTTCAATGAAATTGTCATGGCTACAGATATACTTACAAGCAACTAGCAACTGCAAGACATACAGGAAAACCATATTTGTTACTAACTGAAAAATTAGACCAAAAATCCCACAGTGTGCATCACACAGCTAAACCTTCTACATTTAACGGTTATTTTTGTTCCAATCCCATATCATCAGACTTATTTGTAACTCCCTGTATGCATCCAATTCATTTTTTTTTGCTTCATTAGTCCCTCTTTGAAAACAAACTGTATCATTTACCAACATCAGGAACTGACTTGCGTCATTGTCTCAATATATTTATTGGTTAACCTCCTCGAAAAAAAAATGAGAAAATGCGAAAGAAAGTAGTCAGAACTTCCAGTGATCTGATTCTCTTTATCTTCTTTATCAATTATCGGGGAAGAATTTTCTTGCCTGTCTTGAATCTTCTCTCCATTCCTGTTAGGTTCTGAAGAGACATGCTCCACCTGTACCACTGCTCCAGTTTTCAAACCCATTTCCTCTCCTGATACAAGCTTTTCTGACGATTCTTTAGGGGTTCTTATTACTGCAATAGGTTTCAGTATGTCCAGTCCTGTTGCAAAGAAAGTTTGTTATTTTATAAAACATTGAAAATAGGATCAAGAGGAGGCCATTCGACCCTTCGAGCCTGCCCCATCGTTCATCCATCATGGCTGACAGTCCAACTCAATAGCCTAATCCTGCTTTCTCCCCATAAGCTTTGATCTCTTTCACCTCAAGTGCTCTATCTCGCCACCTCTTGAATACATTCAATGTTTTGGCATCAACTACTTCCTCTGGTAATGAATTCCACAGCCTCATTCTTTGGGTGAGGAAATGTCTCCTCATCTGCGTCCTAAATGGTCGACACCAAATCCTCAGACTGTGACCCCTGCTTCTGGTCACACCCACCATTGGGAACGTCCTCCCTGCATCGACCCTGTCCAGTCCAGTTAGAATTTTATAAGTCTGTATGAGATCCCCCCTCATTCACGTGAACTCCAGCAAAAACAATCCTAACCTAGTCAATCTCTCAGCATACGTCAGACACGCCATCCCTGGAATCAGCCTGGTAAACCTTTGCTGCATTCGCTCAAGAGCAAGAGCATCGTTCTTCAGAAAAGGAGACCAAAACTACACACAATATTCTCGGTGTGGCCTCACCATGGCCCTGTACAACTGGAACAACACAGCCCTGCTCCTGTACTCGAAAGCCTCTCACAATGAAGGCCAACATACCATTTACCTTCTTTACCACCTGCTGCCCCTGTATGCTTAGCTTCAGTGACTGGTGCACAAGGACACCCAGGTCCCACTGCACACTCCCCTCTCCCAATTTACAGCTATTCAGGTAGTAATCTGCCTTCTGGTTTTTGCTTCCAAAGTGAAGAACCTCACATTTGTCTAAATTATACCACATCTGCCACTAATTTGCCCACTCCCCTAACCTTTCCAGATCATGCTGAAGGAACTCTGCATCCCCATAACAGTTCATCCTCCCACCCAAATTGGTATCATCTGCAAGCTTTGAGATGTTACATGTTGTTCCCTCATCCAAATCATTAATATACATTGTGAATAGCTGGGATCCTCACACCGATCTCTGTGGCATCCGTAATTGCCTGTCAATTACAAAAGAACCCATTAATTCCTGCTCTTTGTTTCCTCTCTGCCAACCAGTTTTCTATCTATCTCAATACACTTCCCCCAATCCCATGCTTAATTCTACCAAACACTGACTCCTCCCTGAATCTGAAACATACTCAGTTGGATAAATGAACCATTTACCAGAAAAAAGTCCGCAAAGCTGCCTCTCAGGGGAATTGTGAGTTATCGTCCAGATTCGGGAATCTCTTGAAATGTAAGTTCAGAACGTGTTACCCATGGCCCCCAGCCAGTCCCAGTTGCTGGGACATAATTTGACATTGAGTTGACGTGGAAAGTATGAGAGATCATGAGGAGTGTCCAAAGGGCTTGAGCTGACATTGAGCTGGCACAGGGAGTATCAGAGGGGCCATGGGAATTGTTTTGAGAGATGAGTTGTCATGGAGAGTATGAGGGGCCATGGGGATTGAGTGAAGGAATTAGAGAGTTCGGGGGTAGAGAGCCCCTGGTTTTATTACAGCAGGGGGAGGAAGTCCCAGAGAACCAAGGCAAGGCTTCTAACCGACCCGTCTTAGAACTCGCCTGCTGCCTTGATGTCCCAGGATCTGTTTCCCACTCTGTCCCTGGTTCCAGAATCCCCCACGATGGGAAACAGCGTCTCAACATCTACTCTGTCAGCACCTTCACAATCTTGTACATTTCAGTAAGAACCTCTCATTCCTCTACAATTCAAATAACTACAGCCGCAGCCTGAAACCTTTCATCCCAAGGAAACAGCTTCATCCCAGGAATCAACCAAGTGAACCTTCTCTGACCTGTCTCCACTGTTTCAATAAAGCTCTTTCCCAATGGCCCCTCCTTCAGACCAACCAGTGCCAGCTGAATTCCTTTCGATGACATTGGGTTTCAAGAGGTTTAGTTGGTATTTTGAGATCAAATTCAACACTTCTGCTTTCAATTTTGTGAAAACACATTTCACTCCTACATGAGTTTGGGAAATAATGAATGTCAAGTGGGACTTGAACAAACAGGAGCTTGTTCTCACTGAGGCAGCTGGAGCAATATTGCACTGAACAAAGAACTATACAGCACAGGAACAGGCCCTTCAGCTCTGCCTTTGCACCGACACATTTTGCCCTTCCATATTAAAACAGTCTTCACTTACAGGGTCCGTATCCCTCTCTACCCTTCTTGTTCATGTATTCGTCCAAGTGTTTTTTGGATATTGCTATTGTGTCTGCTTTCACTACCTCATCTGACAGGGTGTTCCAAACACTCACCACCCTTTGTGTGAAAACTTGCCTCACATATCTCCTTTAAACTTCCCTACTCACATCTTGAAATTGTGTCGCCTACTAATTGCCCTCTCCACACTGGGAAAAAACCTCATTCTCTATCCATCATTCACAATCTTATAAACATTTATCAGGTCGCCCGTCAACTTCCTGTCTTCCTGTGAAAACATACCCAGTCTATCCAAACTTTCATCACAGCTAAAATGCCCCATACCAGGCATCATCCTGGTAAACCTTTTCTATAACCTCTCCAAAGCAGCCACATCCTTGTGGTCGTGTGGTGACCAGAACTGTACGCAATATTCCAAGTGTGGCCTATCAAAGGTTCTGTAAAGCTGCAGCATAACTTTTCTATCCTTATACTTCAAGCCCCTTCCAATGAAGGTAAGCATGCCATAGGCCTTTTTTACTACCTTATGTACTACCCTGTGCTGCCACCTTTAGTGATCTGTGGACCTGCTCACCCAGATCCCTCTGCCTATCAATACTCCTAAGGGCCCTGCCATTCACTGCATAATTCCCAACTGCACTTGACCTTCCAAAATGCATCATCTCACATTTGTCCGGATTAAACTCCATCTGCTTTGTTTCCGCCCATACCTCCAACAGATCTACATCCTGCTGTATCATCTGACAACCCTCCTCACTATCTGCAGCTCCACCAGTCTTTGTATCATCCACTATCTCACTAATTAGACCAGCTACATTTTCGTACAAATTGTTTATGTAGGTCACAAACAGCTAAGGACCCAGCAATGATCCCTGTGAAACACTACTAGTCACAACGCTCCATTCCGAAAAGCATCCTTTCACTGCTACCCTCTGTCTCCTATGACTAAG